TTTTTTAGCGAGGTGTTTCAGTCTAAATTAAAATGCAGTTATACTGCTACAAGTTCTACAAAGAAAAATTATTATAATCTGCTTAAGTGAACATACTGAAATATTACTTATTACTATTGGTATACATCGCAAAACTATCTCCAACTTCCAACTTTCCAAATATGTTGATTAATTAAAATTTGAATAAATAAACCCATATAATTTGAACGATGCCACGATGTGCTACACATACATAAAATACGCAAATTTACTTTGATGCACAAAAAGTGCCCTGGTGATGAAATTAAATTGGCCTACTTACATTTTGAAACCACAATTTAAAAAAACACAGAAATAGAGCCACTCTCATCACAACTTGCGAACAAGCAACAAAAGGTCTCACTAAAGTTGAAAGAACTATCAACCTTTGTAATATGATCTTTCACGGTTTCACGAGCATATAGTTACAACTTATAGAACTGGAAAATTACCCAAGATTACGAATTAAATTTATTTTATTTTATAGGTTTATTTATTTATTTGTAATTATTATTATTATTATTATTATTATTTTCTTAATATTGTGAATAAAAATAATTTGAATGTAAATATAATAAAATATAATATTTTTTCTTTAATTTTGGGGTCTTTTGGTTTCAATTAATAATAAAGATATACTGTCTAGATAATTTAAAACCATGATAATATACCTTTTGGCTGTATTTACTGGGAGCGATTTTTTTACGACTTAGATTATTTTTTTTAACGTATTCAGATTTATTTTGATTAACGGGCAGCATAGAGGATTATTACTTTCGTAACTTTTAAAGAGAACATTTAATATTTATTATTATTTTAGTTAAAACTTAAATAATAATTAGTTCTGAATTATATGATTGTATATAGTGTCAAATACGCAGTCAAATTTTATGAAGTTATTCGCTAATGGTAGTTAAATCGAGAAAAACCAAACTCTGCAATGGTGATGAGTTGCTCATTATTTTTTGGCTTAAAACGAATTTGTGATAACAAATCTGTACTTCACTATACCAAGTAAAAAAGGATTTCAGTGTTTTTACAACACTAGGTATAGGTACTGTATTTATTTACATACAAAATATAATGTTATGCATAATATGTATACATCATGTATATTATATTAAAATATATTACCAGCGATTTCACGAAGAGCCAACCCTTGGAGGATCTCTTGCACATGCAATTAATATTAAACCAAACCAGTGAAATTAAAATTGTATTTACATCTGAGAAAAAAAAATCAAAAGAAACCAACTTAAAAATAATTTTATGGGTGAAATGTTTTTCTTAATCGAGCTTTTGTCTTATTTATTGCTTAAATATCAGAGAAGGCACTCCGTTTTCTCCGTTATGGACAAATTTTTTTTTAATTATTGACAACTTTTGACGATAGACGACTATTATTGTTCGTTTGTAGGCGTCACGTAATAATAAGAACTTTGCATATGTATCATATTGTAATTATATGAAATTTAATATTTTGACGTGTCTCATAGACTTTAGTAAAGCTGTAAAATCTAATATTGTCGTAATGATGACCATTTTAAATGTCGTTCCGACGAATTCCACCACCTAGTGATTATTTCGCGGTGTATGCTATGGCGTAAGTATCTATATACATAACTTTTTTTATGGTGGATGAAGAATGGCGTGTGGTGGAGGTCATGATCAAAGACACTCGTTAAAAAATGGTTGAAAAATATCTCAGTTTAGGTATCTATAACTATATATGGATTTTGACTCCCAGTACCTGCGCAGAGATTACACTAAAATTATTTAAAAAAAAAAATCAGAATATGAATTACTGCAATATAAAAATAAAAGGTACGGGTGGATGAGTATGCTTATTGCTTGGTGAATCACCCTGTACACAGGTATACGATACGTGGACGACGAAGGGCACATTGTTCACACTCTTGTTGATCGTAGTTGACTACCATAAATGTGACTTTTGATAAAAAAAAAAAAAAACTAAAAAACACAACGAAGTAACGGCCGACCGCGGGAGACTAAAAAGTGAAACGATGTTGACCTGATCAATACAGCGGTGGATGAAAACGAAACAAAAGGGTGACATTAATTGTCTTTATATACCATTCGGTAAATATGAAATAGGTATATATTATTATAGGCAGTAATAATATAATACGAGTAGGTATATATGTGCGTGCCAAAAATAAGCCGCGAAAACTACACCTCTCGCCATTCTTTTAAATTAAATTACGGTGAATTTCACAATACGATTATAAAAATATTATTATATTATATTAAAGCGACGGGAAAATTTCGAATAGCGACCATTGCGATTTTCACGCTGGTATTGTTTTCTAAGTCGTTAGATGTTTACGCTCAAAATTATAATACTATTAGTTAGATGACATTACTATTAACAATTACTCGGACTAATTAATAATAGGCGGTATACCTAACCTCGACTTATTATTAGTTATTATTAATAAAAATAAAAATAAAAGATACATTAATTTTTAGTAGACAGCGACAGTCGCTACAATATAATATTATTACAATGATGGGTATATTTTCGTTTTTGATAAATATTTTTAATTACCTACCAATCATAGGTCTTTAGGTACCTACCTATACCATTAAACACTGCAAATTTGACATGTGATTGACTTAAGTAGCATCACGTGCTTCTTTAAGCGAAACCGTGCTACGAGATAGACAGTATAGACACCCCCGATTTTTGAGTAATGACTTAGAATTTAATGAACGGTTCATTTATTTATATTGTGCATTCAAACAAATAGTGAAATAACTATTCACCAGCATTGAGTACAAAACAAAAACAAAAAGCACTTATTTTATTATACGATCAGTATATAATTTTGTGCGCATGCGTTATTATAGAAAATGTAAATTCCACAGACAAAATATAAACAAAACATTTCGTCAATACCAACGAAGAGATTGCAACAGTATGGTAAAAACAATATTGGTTCAAGTGCTTTCAATAAAATAGGTTTTGTTGTTGTTTTCTCTTTAAAAAAAAAAAAAACATCAAGAGCGCCCCATTCGAAATCAACGGAACTTAACGGTACGATCGAATTATTATACTTGTAGAATTTTTCCAATTAATTTTAAGTATTTCGTGCTCATCGACAGCGTTAAAATGTAATGGCGGATGATAAAATAATATATAATAGATTATGTAAAAGTAATTGAATTTCAGATCTCTCGAATAAGTTTGGATAATATGGTAATGTCGTCAAGAATAATTGTATAACATTATATTATTATGTAAATTGTATAATTTAATCATGCGATAAACATATTTATTGGACAATGTATTAGATATTATGTATGCACAATTATTATTTTAGTTGTCTCTGGTTGTAAATATTATAATATTATAACGACGTTTTTATTAAAATAGGTATGCGGTCATAGAAACGCACCGCATGATGATTGGTGACTATAATTCAGGGGCGGAGTGGTCGGTCTGGAAATGGAAATTTTCCAGATGGCCTGGACCATACTATGGCCTGGTGGCCTGGCCATTTTGTTAGATTTTTTTTTAATTTAATTTAATTTACAAAATATTAGTTAATGCTAAATGTTTGTTTCTATTAAATTATTTTTTTTTAACCCTTTCAGGCCCCAATGTCATTATAATGGCATTACATTAAAAATAAATGTAGAAATTATAATTGTGTGTATAATTGGAGGGAAATTGGTTTATTTTGTCAACGAATATTTATAGATAATAATAAGAATTATGATTATATATTTTATCACTAAACTATATTGAAAATCAATGATGTAAAAAAAAAAAAAAAATTTGCCGGGATTTTTTTTTTTTTTTTTTGTAATAAATATTAATTATTGATAATCAATTGGGAAAAATCCCATATTTTTTTTCCCGTGTCAACACTGTTGTTATTGTATTATGCCGGTATTAAAATCTTAGATCATATACTATGGATGGAGCCACTGCGTATTATAGCAATACAAAAAGTTGAAGCCGATATTAGCGACGAGTCACCGAATTAGGTGATCGATATGCGCATGCGCGAAACAACTCGTTTAATATTAATATTATAATCACCAGCTGATAAATATGCGAGAGGTTGCGTTGCACATGCGCATATCGAACACCTAATTCGGTGACTCGGCTGGGATGGGGACAGTTATAATATTAATATTAAACGAGTTGTTTCGCGCATGCGCATATCGATCACCTAATTCGGTGACTCGTCGCTAATATCGGCTTCAAAATAATATGCAGTGGCTCCATCCATAGTATATGATCTAAGATTAAAATGTGGTTATTATCTTTTATCAGTGAGTGGTATCGTCTTAAGTAATATGACATTATAATGGCAGTTGGGCCTTGGGCGTTTACAACATTTTGTGATAACCGATAATATTATTATTCACGTGCACGTGCATTTTGCCGCTGTTATTCGTTATCATTTATCCTTATTCTCCGAATCTCGTCCGGTACTCGAACGAGTAACTCGTTGTTACGTTACGAATTTTGTTTCTGTTGCTTAGTGAATAGGGTTGCCAACCGGCCGGTATTTTCCCGGCCCGGCCGGTATTTCACATATTTAGACTTAAAAAGCCGGTTGCCGGTATTGACCTATAAAAAGCCGGTATTTTCAAAGTAATAATATTGTAAAATTATAAAAACCCAGTAATTCCACCTGATCGAGAGTTTTGATATTATATATTAATATTTTATCATTTTTATGAAATTGATTATCACATGTTACTGTCAATAAATCGTATACCTATCTTAATGACTTCAGATATCTATCGTCCTTTTTGACATTTTTATGAGTACTATGATTAGTATGTACCTTGTTAGTTGTTCCTATTATGCCGTTCTCGTTGGTGAATATGTGATAGACGATTCATAATAGAGTTTAGTTTCGTTATTCTGTTCGGACTGTTCGGTAGTACCTATTAATTTTACATTGTATATACTTGATTGAAAAATTATACGCATTTTTAAAATGAACGAAAATGAAACGAAAAAAAGAATTCGTAATTGTGTTTTTAACGATGAATGGTTAAAAGATCAAATATTTTCTGATTGGATCGCTAAACACAATAACCCTAATAAAGCACGATGTATATTATGTCAGACAGTTTTTAGTGTTAAGTATGATGGCGTTAAAGCTGTAAAAACACATCAAGAATCAAAAAAACATGAAGAATCCGTCAATTCTATAAATAAATCGTCCACTATAAAAAAGTTTTATAGAGAATACCTCGAAAAATGGTTTGATTATGAAAACTCTCCATTCAAAATGTTTTCGTGTTTGAAATTAAGTGAATTACCTAAATTAACAGATTTACTCGATCTGGCCAAATTAATTAAGGTTCATGTCAATGGAGATGAACTGTATGAAGAGCTTAATTTGATAAAGTTATTACCAAATGATATCCTAAATAACACAGAATTCACTAGTTCGGAAAAATGGGTAAAATTTTTCCAATCATCTACTGCACAATTAAAAAATATTAAACAAATTGTACAGTATGTATTCTCGGTGCCGTGTAGCAATGCATTTGTTGAACGCGTTTTTAGCCACATGAATAGTTTGTGGACAGATGAGCGCAATCGATTAGGAATTGATACAGTTAAAGCCGAACTAGTCATAAGAAATAACATAACATACAATTGTTCAGAGTTTTTTGATCAAATACAAAATGAAAAACATTTATTAAACGCCGTGAAAAATGCCGCTAAATATAAATTTAAAAGTTTACAATAGTTTATTTATAATAGTTATTATAATAATTTATAAGTTTATAATATTAAAGTTTAACATAATGTAATACTAATATTATTAATTTTTTTATTTTAACGTATGTAATTAATTATATTATTCGTCATTTTATTATATTAATATTAAAAAATGATGACCTTTTTTTTTTTTTTTTTGTACACTTGGGCCGGTATTTTTTAATTCCAAAGTTGGCAACCCTATTAGTGAAGAATATCAACTATATTAGTAAGTATTCTTTTAATTAAACCACATAGGTAGATAGTTATAATCAGTTGATTAAATTTAATTTATGTTATAAACTCTAGTTTGAAATGTTAAAAAAGCAGCATCAGCTGCCCTACGGAGACATCATCGAATTGCTAGGTGATGGGAGAGATTCAGAACTATCATCATTGTCAGGCGACGACGATGATTTTGTTGATGACAATGAATACCCTTGTTCAGAAATCGAAAAGTCTAGTAAAGAACAAATGTTTGAAAATGTACTTGATGATTTTGAACTGTTTGAATTCGAAGATGGTGAAGATTTCAACGTTTTTGGCATAAATAATGGTATGTAAAATATTATTTTATATTATTTATTTTTTTTTGTTTCTAATTATTTAAATTTTCTTTATGAAACAATTACACTGTATATTTTAGAAACAGTTGAAGATGAACAGCTATCAGATAACAATGCTTATGGTAGGTGTATAAAATATTATTTTGAATTATTTTTATTTGGTTTCTTTATACATTTTAATTTTTTTAATAGCTAGGCCAAGTACACCTACATTACCACCACGTCAGATAGCAATAAGACCTGTTGAAAATGTACTTGATGATTTTGAACTGTTTGATTTCCAAGATGATGAAGATTTCAACGTTTTTGGCATAAATAATGGTATGTAAAATATTATTTTATATTATTTATTTTTTTGTTTCTAATTATTTTCTTTATGAAACAATTACACTGTATATTTTAGAAACAGTTGAAGATGAACAGCAATCAGATAACAATGCTTATGGTATATAAAATATTTTTTGAATTATTTTTATTTGGTTTCTTTATACATTTTAATTGTTTTAATAGCTAGGCCAAGTACACCTGCAATACCACCATGTCATATAGCAATAAGACCTGTTGTTGAACACGGACTACACCTCAATAACCTACCATATTACACAAAAAATGAAATTAAATGGTCAAATAGACCGTTTGTCAGTAATTTCTTAAAGATTTCGCAACCAGCTCCAGAATTATCAACTACTTATAAGACTCTATTACCAATAGAATATTTCAGTAAATACTTTCCTGAGGAAGAGTTTGAAAATATGGCCAAGTACACAAATATTTATGCCAAACAAAATAATTTCATAAAGTATGTAGATACTACACCTTCAGAAATGAAGGTGTTTGTGGGTATACATTTGAAGATTGGTTGTCAAAAACCTAGTAGAATAAGATCATGTTGGACTAATGAGGACAGAGTAAATATAATTGCTGATAATATGTCTCGAAATCGTTTTTTTCAGTTGAGGTCTTGTTTTCATGTAATGAATAACGATGACATTCCTGAAAACAATGTTGATAAATTTATAAAAGTTAGACCACTTTTTAATTCTTTTATAAAACGTTGTAAAGAATTGCCAGTAGAAACTAATCTAGCTGTTGATGAAAAAATGGTCAAATTTAAAGGGAAATTAGGTGTCAAACAATACATGAAAGGCAAACCCTGCCCTTGGGGTATTAAAAATTTTTTACTCTGCTCTGCTAATGGTATGGTTTATAATATGATTTTATACCAGGGCAGTTCAACTGAAATAAATCATGAAATAACAAAAAAATATGGCCTCGGGGGTTCCACAGTTCTACAATTAGTTGAACACATAGATAAAAATGAACATTATTTATATTTTGATAATTTTTTTAGCTCTTACAATCTATTTACATCACTTGAGTGTTTGGGAATTAAAGCAGCTGGGACAGTTAGACTTAATCGTTTTGCTAATCCTCCAATTGTGAGCGATAAAGAGCTAAATACATTAGGAAGAGGAGCTTCATATGAAGTTACCTCAACAGATGGAAAAGTTGGTCTGATTAAATGGTTGGATAATAAATCTGTAAGTCTCGCGTCTAACTTTGTAACTTCAGGCAGCCCAGATATAATTAAACGGTATGATAAAAAAAATAAATGTTATGTTGAAGTAGGTCGCCCTGAAATTGTGAAATTATATAATGATTCAATGGGTGGGGTGGATTTGCATGACCAACTCATTAGCTATTATAGAGTGTTTATAAAATCTAGGAAATGGACTCTGCGTATGCTGTTTCATGCCTTTGATATGGCCACTTGCAATGCATGGTTGGAGTATAGAAATGATGCTGAAACAATAAATTTACCAAAAAAAAAAGTAATGGACTTATTAGGCTTTAAGCAAAATTTAGCTTCTACATTGATTTCTGTAGGGAGTTCTGTAGTAACACCTTCCAGAAAACGAGGGCGCCCGTCGTCATGTAACAAAATTATAGTTCAACCTAAACCATGCAAAAAAAATCGTTTAATTGATAGATACCCCACTGATGTGATGAGAAAAGATAACACTGGCCATTATGCATACATGGATAACTTGAGAGATGCCACATTCTGTAAGTTAGAGGGTGTAGTTAGATGTAAAAAAAGAACCCATATGACATGCAAAAAATGCAATGTCCATTTATGTATAACCAAGACAAGGAATTGTTTTTATGATTATCATAATTAAATATTTAAATCATATTATAATTATGTAAATTTATATATATTATTATTAACAATGTAACAGATGATCTTATATTTTATATTTATTTACCTAATGTTATTACTACTTAGAAGGATGTTTTTTATTTGTTTTATCGTTTTATGTAACTGCAAAGACTGCCACAGTATAACCATTGTGATAATGATTATAAACTTTATTATTTATTTTCTTATTTAATTTTATATTAATTGTTCTAATTTTTAATTTTTAAAAATTGTTATTGATATTTTGTTTTTACGAATAAAGATTATTCATACGATATAGTGTGTTATACGTTAAAGCCCAATTGCCATTAAAATGGTAATGTAAGTAATTATATTTAACGCTCAAATGCCATTATAATGACAAGTCACCAAAACTCAAGTTTGGGTAGTCAAAAAATTTCAAAATTCGAAATTTCTCTTAATTTAAGTATGTTTTATGTAAAGAACACATGAATTATTTTTTTTTTTCATCAGATCATAATTCGGGCCTGAAAGGGTTAAATTAATTAATTATTAAAGCTTTGGATATAAAATTACAAAATATTTGGCACATAAATATAGACATCAAATAAAATCAAAGCAATATAATATTGTAATAGGTCGGTTATTTTTATAATAAAACACCCATTTTAAACATTGAAGTATTTAAAAATTAGGATGAGAAATTCAATGACCAATGATTATCTTGAGTCTTTTATGCTTATGGCCATTGAAAATAAAATTCTCATGGAAATAGATAACAATATTATCATAAATGCAGTTGGTGAGAAATCTAATCTATTATCTAAATTATTACTATGAATGTATAAATCTTTTTTATTATATATTGCTTACAATGTATGTATATATCTATTACTTATTAGTTTATTACCTTATATCTACTATACCTAAACAATTAAAACACAATGTATAATATAATTATTAATATTTCGTTTATTTCAACTATTAAACCATACCTACTAATTTTATTTTTCAGACTTTCAGGAATAAGTAGGTACTTAGTGGTATATTAATATAATGTGTTAGAAGACAGAAGTTAAAAGAAATAGCAAGATAGTGATTGAAATACTTTTATAATACTAAAATTAGTTTTCAAATAGGTAAATAGAAAAACCAAATTCGAGCTTAGAGAGAAAAAAAATTTTGGTGGGTGGCCTGGATAAATTTTAAACTCCCGGCCTGGATTTGGTTCCCACTCCGCCCCTGCTATAATTATATAAAAAAAATAATAATAATAATATAACGTCTATGTACTATAATATAATATGCATTCGTAAACATATTATAATGTTGTAAACATATAATGGGAAATATTATGAACGCAAATAGTTTGCCACGATTTCAGTGGAACTCGATAATTATTTCCGTGGAAAATATCCGCTTTCCGCCGAGGGCGACGACTATATTGCAATTTATCAATTTGTATAGGTACCTAACAGTATTACTATATAGAAGTTGAAGTCTGTTTAAAGTGCGTTCCGACCGTTCGAATTAAACGCTACGATCGGATAGACGTCGTCGAAATTGATTAATATTATGTGATTATAATAATTTGTTTTCCATTTCAATTAACCGGATTATCACAAAACCTTAAACGTCGCGGTGAAAAGTATACCGCGATGAACCGCAAAGCATATTATATACCTACCTACCTGTTTTTCGATTCGGGTAATGTAATCGCGAAAGATTTTGAATTTCATAACACCGTATGGTAATAATAATATTATGACGTCTTACTTTAAACGTTGGCATTTTGTCCTATACATGCAATGAAAGAACACAGAGCCAAGGACAGCGCGTGACTACAACAGTTGCAGATACTTTTGAGGGGCGGGGGGAGGGGCGCATCGTGCGTTATTATGTATTATTATAATAGTATCGTATTATTATAATGACGACGACTCTGTTCGGCGGAAAAAAAGTTCAAAATAGAATAATATTATACAATATATTGATCTATCAGCGTTTTTTGTTCGCTTCCTGACATTATAATGACGACGTAGAATACAATACTCGTGTAACACAATATAATGTTATACCGTGCGATGATGTATTATATGCTCTCATCCGAGCGCAGATAGCGCACACGGCGGCGTTTCTCTCTCGCGAGCGTCTTATCATTAACGTCCGCGCCGACGACGAAGTTCAACGCCGCCGTATCAATAATGATAATAATAATAATAATAATTTAGTCGCCACCGACGGCGACAAGTTTTTAAGCGTCGTCGTCGTCGTCGTCGTAAAACTTCCGCCACGCCGCCGGTTAAACGATATTTATCGTCGACGCCGACGCCGCCGCCGCCACCGGCCGTTTTCCGACGTCGTCGTCTCTGCAACGGCACGTCGCCCCTCGATTTTTATTTATCTCCTCGTTGCGGCATCGTCGTCGTCGTCGTGTGTGAGAGTGCAGGAGGAGAAAAAATAAAGCTCACGACAAACGGTATCGTGATATATAAAGCTGCATCGCACTCACACACACACACACACACACACATGCACACACGCTCAAAGAGAACTACTCACTGTACAGCGTCGTGTAATCTTGGAAAAACATTCCGATGGGCGTGTGAACGACATATATATACCTAATATACCGGATGGTTCTTTTATCGTTGAACACTCATTATTTCAAAAAGTATGTTTTTGAGTAAAAAAAAAAAATGCTAACCTATTGACAAAAAACAATATTTTTTAAAATATAATATATATATATATATACATTTTAATATTTTTTTTTTATCCTCAACATTTTTTAAATGTTTTCCTTTTTAGAACGACAACATATAGCTTTAATTTCATATGAGGAATATTTTTCCAAGTATTTTGATGCATACAAATCGAATTTAGGATGAATATGAGTTGTAAGTGCTTTAAGTTTACATGAGCAGAGTGGAGTGGAATACGCGCGATTACGCCGAAAAATGTTGGTCCATTACTCCGATCATCTAAACTTTAAATACTTATAACTCATAAACTACTCTCTCTAAATTCGATTTTCCTGTATCGAAATACTCAGAAAAATATTCAAAATATTCTGCATTCGAAGATGAAATTAAAATTGTATGTCTTAATTCAAAAGAGTAAAAAACTTTAAAAATTAAAAAGGTAAAAAATATTTAAAAATATAATTTAAAAAAAAAAAAAAGGTTTTTAGTAACGACTCGAAACTATGTAAAAAAAAATATTTTCAAAACAATTAACACTTTTTGAATAACGGTTGTCTTACATTAAATGAACCACCCGGTATATAATATTATGTCATGTTAAACAAGGTGAAACGGGCTCGGTCTGAAATATAATAACTATTTGATTTCGTTAAAACATAAATAAAACGTCCTGACCGCGTTTATAAGAAATGAAAAAAAATTTCTCAAGAGTCGTTTGAAAATGCACGACACAACTCGCGGATCCTGCATCCGTGTCCACCAGTGAACCCGACTGTTATTTCTATTATATAATTTCGTTTGTCGTCCAAGGAAATTGACGTAGGTATATTACAATATTATTATCGTCGACCTGTGCCAATGTTACATCTGAATAAGAGTACACATTCATAGTATTATATTGCAATTATGCATTAAAATGCACACTACATTTTATTATTTGACTGAACCGAACGATCAATGCCAACATTAAGTTTCAATTGATTTAAACTTCAGGGCGAAACGGAAATCATAATTCATAATACATTTGTTACAAAATGTGTGCGAAACGGGTCCCGCCCGTAATAATGATGTTTATTACGTATAGGGCTGTTATAGTTATAACAGTTCATTATATTTAGTAAAGTTTACCGAGTAAACGGCAAAATATATTTATCAAATATTAGCTCATTAGTGTAGATTTACATAGTTTTTCTGTTTTTACATATTTTTAATTTGACTTTCTTAAAGTGTGTGATAATATTATATTAGCTATTTAAAATAATATAAAATTAATAAAATAACTTATGTTTTGTGTGGGTACTATATATATATATGTATTTTTAGTAAAATAATGTCAATTATGCATTGAACTTGGCTCCGAAAAAAGTAATAAAATGAAATCAAAACAAATTAGTTATCATTTTTGGTTAAGTATGTTTTTTTTTATGATGAACTAAAAAAAAAAATGTATTTAGATCTGGCTTATTTGCAGTTGAATAACTTCCATAGCGATCAGATTTTTATTATTAACAAATGAGGCTTTACGTCGTGGCAAAGTCAGCAATCTCAACTTTTTTTAAGTAAATGTTTTGATCATATTCATATAATACTTTTTACTCTGCGTCGATTGGTGACGCTGATTTTTATCACATATTATCCCCTATCGAGATAAAACGTTTTAATACTAGCTGATCGCTGCAAAGAGAGCAATCTCCAATCATAATACCATGCAATACATGTTCTACGTTTCTCTGGCAAATGAGGCAATCTCCATGCGTTTCTGTGATAAAAGCTTCAATCTCCCTTGGATTCCGCAGCAAATTTGACAAAGTTCATTTTCCCTCCTTTGTTATTTAATGTTATCGAAATTTAACAAATTATATGAATACAGGGAATAACAGTAAACCCCACTATCAATCAACGAAAATAAACTATCGTGGAAAAATACAAGAAATAAAGGTAAAACAGTTTTTCGACATTTAAAAAAAATAACTGCGTTTGGAGATTGCTGACTCTACCACATGACGCTTCAAATATAATATCAAGACAAGATTATATATGGAATTGTATTTTATCTGGATGTAACAGTAGTCAGTTATTTGAGAGACAATATAAATTCATAGGGATCCTTGTCCAACTGTTTGACAGGGTCCTCCCAGTTGTAATAATTTTTATTTGTATGCATAATATAATATCATAGATACATTACCTAACGATCTCATTATTTGGTTGGAATAAGACTTAAAATAATTTTGTACGCATCGCGAATTGAATACGTTTTTTTGGGTTGTGATTTATCTTTCTATTATTTCCCGTTATCCTCAATTCAACACTT